TAATGTAACGATTACCGCCCCTGTTAGATTTGCGCAGAATGACGATAGAGTTCCTTTACAACTTTCGCCGTGTATGTCCGGTACCGGTAATTAAGATATATTTAACGAGTAATCTTGATATTGTAGGTCAGTTCCGATTTTGCTCATTACATATCTTCTAACGGCGAGCTGGTATTCGCCAACGTGTTGCCGGGTGATTTTGGAATTTACAAAGTAGAAGCACATACCGATTCCGAATCAGCTGTTGCACACTTCAGACTTTACAGTGACGAAGAAGTCGGTAAGTTTTTCCGTATATTAAAATTTTGTTTCTATAACATTTATTTACGAAGCTGAAAACGATTGCATGCGAAAGAACTGTTAGCTCCCAAAAAGATAAAGTTATAGATTTTGCTATCTAGGGATGAGATGCTGATGTAATTAAATATTTGCAGGTGTTTATTTTTTAGTCAGAAATGATACTGTTTTATGTGCGAAGTTTGATTGCAGAATGGTCTGGCAAGAGGCACTTCCGGCTAAATGTGCAGATTATTGTCAAACCGGTCGATGTGACGATCGTGAGCAGTTCTGAAAACGCCCAGTTGTCTGTTAAAGATGCATCGATGGACTGCGTCGCGTTTTACAAGTAGGTCCTCTTGTCGATATTGTGAGAGAGCCGTTGATTGAAGGCTGAAGAAACTTTCTAATAATACAGAGATCTCAGCCACATTCATGTTTCTTGGCGACTGAATGGAAACGTCATTCCGGACGACGATGTGCATTATTCCGTGCGTGACTTCAGCCGTCGTCTGATCATCCACAAGCCGACGGTGCGCGACTCTGGTAATTACTCGTGTTATGCGACGGCCAACGGAGTCACTGTTCATGAATCAGCTACCTTAAGCATTGTCGGTAATGTTGAAGTTCTCATATGTCTTGTTTTTGTTTCTTGTCATGTTCTATAGACGGGAATATCTGTTTGGTATTTTTCCCTTTTCTACCTGTCAGTGGCTTTGCGAAAATTCAGCCTTACTGATCTCCTGTTTCCTTTTGCTTGCTAATCAAAATAGCAGTTTTCTTTGCAGAAGCATGACGATCCTTCATTTTATTGAATATATCTGAGCTTGTTTTAAAGGAATTTTTTATTAAGAGGTTTCTTCACCAAAAAAGGCCCGTTTCGTAAGGATAG